GTTCCATGTTGCTCTCTTGAAGATTTATGAATTATTTCCCTTAACTCTGAAGATTTCTTTGTTTAATGTACGGTGAATGAGAATTAAATTTCATTGTACAGAATTAAGATAATGCAGCATTATTCATACTGATATCATAAAAGTTCAGCTATCTTAAACTGCTATCATTTCGAACCTTGATGTCAAGTTTTGCAGAGTCTACTTGGCACCTTTATCAGCATCATAACACTGTAGGTTGAGGAAAAAAATCAAATATGTTCAGTATTTTCACTACAAATAGTATTATCGTGTGAAAGTTTAAATACACAAATCCACCAAGAAAAAAAAGTCACAAAAAATTCCATATCCTTTTTTATATAATAGACGTATCAAGTAACAGGTTGCATTTTTTTTATATCGAACTTGTATTTCCACCTACATTTCTAAATTCAATTGCTTCACTAAACTGTTGGTGTCATGACTAATACCACATTCATATCTTAACTTCTATTGTGTACACACAAAGTCCATCGACTGCATCATTTTCCTGGCTTCCTGACATGTAACCTTACATTATGTCACCGTTATCTAACTCAGTATCTTATATATACGTACTGCTAAGATACTGTAGTGGACGTCTCCCCTACAACTGCGTATCCGCATTCCGATGCGCCGCCGTATCCTAGCAACCAAGCGAGCGGCGACAGCAGATGTTACCGTAACCTAGCAACGAACCAAAGACCGGCGACTTTCTCGGGTTTTCCCAACATGACTCATAGAGGACTCACGGCTGCTGGGTATATAAGCTCTGTCTCTCCATTGAGATTCATTCTGATCTCTCTTCTTGAACAAGCAACACCTCCTCCAGCAAGCTCCACGCTGTCAGCATTCATTCAACCAGGAGGCCAGCAACAGGCAACATCTTCTCTAACGAAGCTCCTGCACATCTACCTCCTTCAACACGCTACTCACCGAACGTCTCTACTGAGCAGCTCCTCACCACACGGCACCTCCAGCACCAGACTGTCTATCATATAACTTATATTATACAAGAAAACCACCTTAGAGTTTCCATCCATCCTGAGTGCTAGACAACATTATACCACGAATTCCTACAATACCATTGTAAACACGAACAAATTAGTACTGTAGTTGCAATTTCTTCCAACCTTATTCTTTATTTCTAACTATGCCCTCACCAGTATTCCTCGAAATATCTTTTAATGTGCTCCTTAATTAATCCCAATATCACAACAGTCCCAGGATTCCTTTACACACTCTTAAGTCACAAATGGAGAAGTGCAACAGAACATGATGGCACTGATCGACGGTGTAGTATGGTGTTGTACACAAACTAAGGCATAACTCTGCATCCCAAAATGTCTATTCAAACCTTTCACTCCTCACTTCATGTTTACTTGTGAATTATATCCTGTCTGAAAGAGGCACTGAAAAAATCATTTCATGTTAGGGGAAATTCTTACCTTTATTTTTTACAGCAACAAATGGCCTTCCTCCCTATTCAAAACTGTCCTGTGTCCATTAATATTCACACCAACTAACAGTACAGTCTTTGTAACCCCCTGCATCAGCGAAATCTTACTTAGTCACTTTACCAGCACTAAATGATACTTTAACTACTTTTTTCACTATCTCAAGTATTTTCACACTACGATGCAGGATGGTTTGGAGTCAAGAGCAAATACAAAATTACCCTTGATTCATTCATTCCAAGTGTTGTAACCAATGCATTCTACTACAGTTTGTGCCTTCTACAACAAGAAGCCTAAATATCTATCCAATTTAACAAATAAGAATATAGATTCAATTACTAGTTAACCTTCATAACCATTTGAACCTTTAGCTAAAACCTTCACTACATTATCCCTACATCTTATATCTATTATTGGGTATATTAAGCAGTCTCCTACTTTTCTATTCTATTCATCCATTCCTTCACATAGTACAGTCACTTCCATATTGTAATTGTTCTAACACCTTCTACCTTATTCTATCTTATACTCCATCTTCTTATTCTCTGAAGATTCATAATTTGAACCAGTCCATTCGCATGCATTTTTATTTTGGCTGTTTTCACTTTACCTGTTGACCCAAAGATAACAGATGCTCATCATGCTGAACTTACATTAGTCCCATATTTGTACCGCTCAGTTTGCACCAATCCCATACGTCACCACTTATGAGTTTGGATCATTGTGTCTCCACCACTCAGTGTTTGTACTAATCTTTATCTTCATCACTCACGGTTGGTACATATTGAGTTACTTATTTAGGCCTTCCCCACTCAACTTCTGCATCACTGTCACATCTCCCACTCAATTTATATCTATCTCACACAGTATGTCCATCTCTTAAAGCTTCCACCACAGTCTCATCACCATTCAAAATCTATCTATCTCACGTATCCAGCACTTCCTCCTCTACCACTCCCATCACCACCATGTCAAATCCATCAATTATATAGTACTCCTGAGAGTTTCCATTCAACTTCAGTGAATGAATCATAATAATTTGATGGTGAATGATCCCACCCTGCCTTTAACCATTGATCCCACCCTGCCTCTAACCATTGATCACCCTGCCTTTAACCATTGATCCCACCCTGCCTTTAACCATTGATCCCACCTGCCTTTAACCATTGATCCCACCCTGCCTTTAACCCAGATCCCACCTGCCTTAACCGTGATCCCACCTGCCTTAACCATTGATCCCACCCTGCCTTTAACCATTGATCCCCACCCTGCGCTAACCATTGATCCCTACCCCTGCCTTTAACCATTGATCCCCCTGCCTTTAACCTTGATACCCTGCCTTTAACCAATGATCCCACCCTGCCTTTAACCAATGATCCCCCTGCAACCAATGATCCCCCCCGCTTTAACCAATGATCCCCACCCTGCCTTTAACCAATGATCCCACCTGCCTTTTTAAACATATTGATCCCACCCTGCCTTTAACCATTGATCCCACCCTGCCTTTAACCATTGATCCCACCCTGCCTTTAACCATTGAACCATTGATCCCACCCTGCCTTTAACCAATGATCCCACCCTCCCACCCTGCCTTTACCACACCCTGCCTTTAACCAATGATCCCACCACTGCAACCAATGATCCCACCCTGCCTTTAACCATTGATCCCACCCTGCCTTTGCCTGCCTTGATCCCACCATTGCCTCCCACCCTATGATTCCACCCTGCCTTTGCATCCCACCTCCTAACATTGATCCCTGCCTTTAACCATTGATCCTGCCTTTAACCATTGATCCCACCCTGCCTTTAACCATTGCCTTTAACCATTGATCCCACCCTGCCTTTAACCATTGATCCCACCCTGCCTTTAACCATTGATCCCACCCTGCCTTTTTGAACCCTGCCTTTAACCATTGATCCCACCCCCTGCCTTTAACCATTGATCCCACCTTAACCATTGATCCCACCCTGCCTTTAACCATTGATCCCACCCTGCCTTTAACCATTGATCCCACCCCATCTCTGATCCCTGCCCCAACCATTGATCCACCCCTAACCATGGTCCCATCCTCCTTTAACCATTGATCCCACCCTGCCTTTAACCAATGATCCCACCCATTGCCTTTAACCAATGATCCCACCCTGCCTTTAACCATTGATCCCACCCTGCCTTTAACCATTGATCCCACCCTGCCTTTAACCATTGATCCCACCCTGCCTTTAACCATCTGTTGGTGGTGTCAGTCAGTCACTCCTCACCTTCCATCACACAGACACTCGTAAAGGAGAAAAGAACACAAACCAAAACAACTGTATGTTGCCAAAACTATGAAGATGTTTAAATAAGTTTTCAATCAACATTAATATCGAAGTTTAATGGATGAATTTGTTCAATGTAAGCTTGGAGTGTTTGAAAGTAATTTCTCAGTTATTGTAGGATGTGTTAACAACAAAGGATATTTCCCGAAAGTGATACGATTAGGTAATAAATAAACAATGTATATAAAACCATAATTACCAATGGGTCATACTGGAACTACCTCAATTGTGCACCAAATAAGGTAATAATAAATAAAATATATGTCATGCAGAGAACATGCAATCAAAACAAATCTAAGCAATCATGCAAACGTCATTTGAATGAAAAAATCTAACACCTCGTCTTAGTGTTTTAGAATTAAAAGTTTGGCCAGTCTAGAAAGTAAAAATATTGAAAATTTATGATGTTCAAAGTAAAGTCATCCTACAGGAAGGATAAAACAAGTGTCCAACTGATGGCTCCTGTGAGTGAAAGTTAAAGAAGGTCCCGGCAGGGGGCCGGGGGCCACGTGCCCCCTGTGAACCACGGAGTCGTGCACCCATGGCACTGGGGTAAGAGGACCATTGCTGAACGTTCACATGGGAGGGAGCTGACTGGCCATGGTTGTGGAGCCGACTCCGTGGTTGCTGGCCGGCGGAGGCCCTGGTCAACTTGGAACCTGGCAGCCCTCAAGGGAGCAGCCAGTGGGTGTGGCTAGACAAGTTGGAGGTGGCCAGCGCGGGGGCAGCAGGGCCCGGGGACGGGGCCAGGCGGCACCACGCCCACCATGCAGGACCACTGTGACGAGGTGTTAGGTATGAAGTGGGCGCGGCGGGCCGGCCTACTTGAGGAGGGCGTGGTGGCGTAGCAGGCCAAGTCGAACAGCTGGTGATCGGAGGGCGGAGACTCACGCTCACCCAGGTCCAGGTGGAACCCACGGCCCCTGCGGCCCCCGCTGCCTCCGTCCCCGCCCAGCACACTCATGGCCGACCTGGAGGGTGTGAGGCGGTGTGGGCGGGGTGCTTCCGGCTCAGAATTGAAACCATCAGCATGTGAGACAGAGGAGCCCCCCCTACTTAGGGACCCCCATAAAGAGGCATCTAGACCCCCATCCCTTCGATGGCGCCATGACTCTGGGGAGGTAGCGGGTGACTCCGCTGATGTCATGGGTCTCAACATTTTCTTAAGTGTATTGCTATCGAGGTTGAGGGGGCTGTCATCTCGGTCACCTTTAGTCACGTCGTCGGTGCTCTTGCTACGGGCACGGCGCCGCAGAGTGTCCGTCTCTCGTACTGTGTCCATCTCTGAGTAGTCCACACTCTTGGAGGAGAGTTCCCTTCGGCTGCCACGAAGACTGCGGTTGTCGCGGCTGCCTGATGTCGGGGTTTCACCACTTCGATCATTGGCAGCAGAAACAGCAGCAGCAGCAGCGGCAGCGGCAGCAGCAGCAGCAGAAGCTTCTTCTTTACGTGAGAGAGTGCCGACTCCTGTGCCACTTTTATGGTGTAAGGAGGCATGTGAGGCATGGTGTGAGGGTGGCTGGCGAGGGTCACGATTACCACCGAGCTTCATGGTGGAATAGCCGTCTCCCCCACGGCGCGAGGCCATCGTGTCACACATGGCTGCCTGGGTGGTGTTGGTGCTGGTGGCTGTGGTATGAGCCGCACCGTGGTTGGCGGTGCGGCTGGCAGGGCCCTCAACCACCCCACGGCCTCCCTGCGTACGCGGCAAAGTCGACGCACCTGCGGCCATACACAGACTTAGATCAGAGCATCCCATTAAGGGGATAAAGAACTAACTTCTTTGACAATTCAAGAATGATAGATAATAGAGTACCTACCTTCAATCTGAAAATCCACAAATGGTTTATCAAATTCATGAGAGTAAAACCGACATTTGCAGGTGTTTATTTCACCCTAATAAAAATTTGCAGATAATGTTTAGGTGAGTGCATTGGCGTGTTTTTAAATGTTTTTTTTCTGAGGCCGGCCTCTTTCTTCTAGGCATGGTTGATTCTAACAGTGATAATAACATCAAAATGTCTCAGCTAACAGAATTTCAACAACTAAAACAATTAACAAATATATAATTACACTCTGTCCTTGTAATCCAGGTTAACTCAGTGCTGTGGCAGTTCTAGTCCATCTCTATGCAAAACCATGAATTAACTGATTAATACCAAAACAAGTATGAACGCAGTGATTTAGCACTATAATAGTGTGTACAATAGCACCAACAGGCCTATATCACTGCCAAATCACTACTATATATATTTAGAGACTGGTTGAAATGAAACATTATATGAAATTACTGATTAAAAATGCAGGTAATTATTAAATATTTATACAAAACTCCACAAGTTCCCTGCCATGTTTCTCTTCCAGATGCACAGTTATAGATAATTTCTTTAATAAAATATAAGGCAATGAGAGAACCAATGAGTTCCTTGGTGAAGGTTGACTTGCAAACAGTGCATAACAGCAACGTGACTGTCCGCCCAAGTGGGTAACAATGTAAAACATATCAGAGATTCATTTATCAAAAGCTTAATGACTTTTCTGGTTCTGTTTCGTTCTTCTCCTATTGTTTTAAATCGGGAAGTTGATGTTATGTGTTATGCTACCAAATTCCAATTGATTTTTCATTTTGAATATTCACATAAAAGTGCTGTAGAATTTATATAAACAGATGACAGTGATACCAAGAAGTACACCTATTGTTAGAATGGGTGTATAATCTGTCTTTAACAAGATATTCACAATAGCAGAGCTTAATTTATCACATTTCTACACAGCACACGACAAACTGCTGTGTAATGATTGTAATCATCGTCTATATTATGAAGTATTTATCAATTATTATTATTGTGCTGTAGACTGAGGACATCTGCTTAACTTCTTCAACAATATTAGTACCCGACCAGAAGAGTTAACCAGTCTCAGATTACTGGGGACAGAGTGTACAATACGTGGGTGTGATAATGATCATAACATCAATTATTCCAAAAATTGATATTACAGTAAAAAAAAAAATTGTGTTAGTAGAACTCCACCACCAGCCTTGTGTTAGATAAAGCTAATACACAACAAACAAACTTTTCTCAAACTGAAGATTATCGTAAACTTCTGGGGGAGAGTCGGAGGCCGCCCTGCAGGTGCTCTCTTGGTGGAAACCATTTTCTATAATATAATTTTTTCTTACATCTCCGTTTTCTGTTATTTCTGTGTCTGTGGTCTCATAAGAGTTATGTTTGCACTTGCATAAAATGCTATTTTCAATTTGTCCACTGTCTTCTGTAAGGAAAATATGATCTTATCTAAAGATACCAGGAAGAATTAGCAAATTATCAAATGCTTATGGCGAAAAAACTGACCATAAGCCAGAATAAGTAAGCAAGCATGGTTATTCATGGTACAGTATATAAGAAGTGCCAGTTAAATTTTCTGAGAAGAATTTTCAATGAGCCAACTTTTAAACATAACTAAAATATAACAATAAAATTAAAATAAAAAAGCAGTGAAAATATAATTCACGATAAGCCATTTTGTTATTACTATTATTATATATACAGTATCTAAAGGCTTCTGGTCAAGCAAAAAGAGTGAACAGTACTTGTACAGTACATAGGTATATATAAATGTGCAAAGGGATATCACACACTACATTATGTGACCGAAACTGGAACACTGACCAAAGAGTTAAGACAATATAAATGTACAAAATGACACAGAGGTGCAAAACGCAGGATCATAATCATAATATTAAGGGTTGAGCATCAGGATACAGTCAGCACCAGCTTGGAGTGACCTTCCGTGGTCCACATCGTAAATTTTATTCTGAAATATAAACTTTATTTTTCCCTTCCTAAACACAAAATTTATAATATCTAAGGTTGATTTTATTGATGACAGCCTCTAAAATTATCCAATTATGATCCCTAATGAGATACAGTTGGCTACAGGTGTTATGACAGGTAGATCTGGGATAGACACTCAACATCAAAATGACTAAAGACTGCAGTAAATGACACAAAGGTTTCATGATGTTACAGCTAGACACTGAAGCCATTACCTTGTCTTAATAAGGTAATAATAACCCAAGCTTTAACTCTGTTCACTGTTGTTGTGGAAAAGTTAAGTTCTTAGGTTGGCTGACACAGAGACAAGTAAGTGACTTGGCCTTAATTTGTTGGGGACTGAGAGTATGTTAAGTATATATTCCACAGCAAAAATATACATTTGATTTACAAGCAGTAGCCCAGTAACTTGACTGGTCAGTGGGAGAAGGGGGGGGGGGGGCAAAAATCAGGGAATGACTGCAAAAGCATTAAAAACAGCAAATAAATTCAACTATGGAACAGAGCCGGTCTTTTAAAAGTCATACGGTAAGAGACGCTTTAGTGTTTAATGTCCGAGGTATAACTCTCGCTGTTGCTGGAGTAGCGTCCAGGTTCTTATTTAGTAATTGGTTTATGGAGCAAAAAGTACATTTTTTTTTTTTTAGCAAACCTATGTCAAAATAATTTTGTTCGATCACTGATGATTGCGCTAGACGTAATGAAAATCACCACACTTGTAATGGTGCATTTTTCTACAATTGCCGCCAAGACGAAGAAAAAAATACTATTCTCTATCCTAAAGAAATTTTTATTAAGCCTTTGCGTGTCTCACTGCACACTTCAGAATTTTAATGTTCGATATTTTTTTTACCCTCCGATTTTTATCAAAACTCCAGTGGTAGTAGTTTGTTGTTAACTTATGGTGGTGGTCTTACCTCTATATCTGGGGTCTTGTGCACGGAGTCTAGCATATTGCTCGGCTGTCATGCACGTACACTGGGGTTCTCTCGTCCGGCTGGGGGAGGCTGGGGTGGACACAGGTTTCCTCCGCCCTTTGTTCTTGCCACCCCCGCCTCTCACTGGTTCTAGCTTGAGGGAGTATGACGAGGACGCCTTCCGGGAGAACTTGAAGGAGGGTGACTGAAAGAGAGGAACACAGGTGTAGCATACTGTTGAACTGATGACCACAGATTCATACATTGACAGAGATGTATACTGAGATGATGAAGAGACAAGAGAGAGACAGAGTGTAAAATTGAGAGACAGAGAGACTTCTAAAATGCATCATCAATCACTTTATTTAATTTATATGAAACCACACACATAAGAATGTGTGTACAGATCTTCAAAGCTTATTATATAAAATTTTCCTCTGGAGCTGGAGAGAAGACAACACATCAGTTTACGGTAGAGTCTCAGTATAATTTTGGCGCCTTTTTTGGTCACCATTACTGCTTTGTTTTGTTGATGAAGTGTGCCAGTCAGATAACGTCCTAGAATCTCCAATTAATGGGAAACTTTAACATACAATACCTTGAGAATCCAAACCCAGAGGCACTTAAGAATACAGATATATTCCATCCAATTATATAAATGGCATATCTTGGTTACTCTGACACAGCCTCTTGCCACTAAATAAAGGCTAATATCCCTTCTCTGCAAATACTATGAACTTTGTTATAATCCAAGCTGTCTAAGAATCAAGATCTACCATCCATATGTTCTTCCCACCTGGAGGACTTCGCTAATTTGACCAAACATCCCATACCGTTTCTTAACACTCAAGCAAAACTCCCATAACATCACATCATTGTTTTGGGTCGTGTTAAAAGCCAGCGTATCCCTCTCTATGCAGCCACCTCTGTACTGTGTTTACTTTCACAGGTAGGGGCCAGCATGACACTGGGAGAGAAACAACGGTGTATGTTTGACTTGATGACTCAAAACAGTCCTCTGGGAGTGTGACATGTTTGACAACTGTTGTGGTGGTGGTGGTGATGATGAGAGCACTGGTGGTAAAGTTGAAGTGGTAGTGGTGGTGGTAAGGGTGTTGGTAATGGTGGTAGTATTAGTGTTGGTAGTGGTGGAGGCATCTGTGATATTGTTGAGGAGAAAAGTGACGAAATGCAGTATAGTGGTATAATGTGGGAATTGTCGGAATGCAGTATAGTGGAATGAGGTGGGAAGTGAAGGAATGCAGTATAGTGGTATGAGGTCGGAAGTGAAAGAATGCAGTATATTGGTAGGAGGTCGGAAGTGAAAGAATGCAGTATAGTGGTAGGAGGTCGGAAGTGACGGAATGCAGTATAGCGGAATGAGGTGGGAGGTGAAGAAATGCAGTATAGAGACATGAGGTGGGAAGTGACGAAATGCAGTGCAAATGCTAAAGGGAGGGAAGTGAAGGTATTTAGTATAGTGGCACAAGGTGGGCAGTGACGGAAAGCAGTGCACTGGCATGGCGTGGGAAGTGGCAGAATGTAGTATAGTGTCATGGGGTGCTTTGTAAAGGGATGCAGTATAGTTGCATGGGGTGGGATGTGACTGAAATTGGTGCAGTGGCATGAGGTGGGGAGTGACGGAATGTATAGTGGCAGTAGGTGGGAAGTGATGAAATGCAGTATAGTGGTATGAGGTGGGAAGTGACATAATCCAGCATAGTGGCATGAGCTGGGAAGTGACAAAGTGCAGAGTATAGTGGTATGTGGTGGGAAGTGACGGAGTGTAGTATAGTGGCACGAAGTGGGAAGTGACGGAATGCAGAACAGTGGAAAGAGGTGGGGAGGAACAGAACACAGTATAAAGGTATAAGGTGGGAAGTAACAGAAAGCAGTGCAGTGGCATGAGGTGGAAAGTGATGGAAGGCAGAATAATATGTATGGGGTGGGAAGTGACTGAATGTGGTGCGCTGGCATGATGTAAGAATTGAAGGAATGCAGTGTAATGATATGAAGTGGGAAGTGGCGGAGTGTAGTATAGTGATATGAGGTGGGAAGTGATGGAATGCAGTATATTGGTATGAGGTGGGAAGTGACATAATGAAGTATAGTGGCATAAGGTAGGAAGTGATGAAATGTGGTGCAGTAGCATGAGATGGGAAGTGACAGAATGCAGCATAGTAGCATGAAGTAGAGAAGTGGCAGAATGCAACATAGTACCAGGAGGGGGAAAGTTACAGAATGAAGTCCAGTGGCATGAGGAGGGAAGTTACAGAATGGATTACAGTAGCATGCTGTGGAAGTGACGGAATACGGTACAGTGTCATAAGGTGGGAAGTGACAGAATGAAATATAGTGGTATGATTTGGGAAATGATGGAATGTAGTCTAGTGGTCATGAGGTGGGAAATGGCAGAATGCAGCATAGTGCCATGAGGTGGGAATTTACAGAATGCAGTATAGTGGCATGAGCAGCGAAGTGACCAAATGCAGTATTGTGGCATGAGATGGGAAGTGACGGAATGCAGTATAACGGCAAGAAGTGCGAAGTGACGGAATGCAGTACAATGGAATGAGGTGGGGAGGGACAGAACACAGTATATTGGTATAAGGTGTGAAGTGACGGGATGCAGTATAGCGGCATGAAGAGGAAAGTGACGGAATGCAATATAGACATGAGATGTGATATAACAGAATGTGGTGGAGCGCATGAGGAGGGAAGAGACGGAATGCAGTAAAAAGGCAGGAGGTGGGAAGTGATGGAATGCAGTACAGTGTCAATTGGTGGGAAGTAATAGAAAGCAGTGCAGTGGTATGAGGTGGAAAGTGACTGAAGACAGTATAGATGTATGGGGTGGGAAGTGATGAAAGCGGTGCTCTGGCATGAGGTGAAACTTTTTTTTTTTACGGGGAATAGCTCACCCGGGCACGGGTCATTGACCCACAAAGGGCCCAGGGGGCGAAACAATAAGAGTAAAAAGAAATTAAAAATAGAAAAGAAAAAAAGATTATATTAATCTACACCACGAAGATGCCGTAAAACCAGCTCTATAAGCGAGACAGATTGTATGAATATGGAAACACAGTAGACGGCGGAGCATTCCACAGTTTGGCTGTGTGAGGAAAAAAGGAGGTACTATAGCGGGTTATTCTCGTGTGACCGACATCCACAGAGAAACGGTGGGCACCGCGGGCAAGACGAGTGTTACGAGCCCACGGCCTTGCCGGCGGTACACAGGATGCCAAATCCACCGAACATTGCCCATTAAAGAACCTGAAAGAGAGAGAGAGTGAAGCAACATTGCGGCGAAGAGAAAGGGAAGAAAGATTATCAACTAAAGGAGGAAAGCTAGTAAGAAGAAATGCCTTTGATTCCACCCTTTCTAACAGCTGGACGGACGAAGAACCACCCCAGATATGAGAGCAGTACTCCAAGTTAGGTCGAATGAATCCCTTATAAACTTGAAACAACTGCTCTTGAGTGAAGTAGCTACGGCATCTGTACAGCATTCCCAGCTTTCGGGAGGCAGCTTTAGCAATGTTGTGGATGTGTGGTTTCCATGACATATTAGAGGAAATGGTGAGGCCTAGCATATCTATTTTAGAATTTGGCAGAATGATTAAGTCCTGAAATGTGATTGGCGGGAGATCATCTAATTTGGAAAGTGTAATTGGTAAATACTGTGTTGATTAATATTGAAAGTTTCTACCTCCCCATTCGGAGATGCTATGCAAATCCGCATGGAATGCAATTTAGTAGCATGGGATAGGAAGTAGCAGAATGTATTATAGTGGCATGAGGAGGGAAGTGTTGAAATTTGGTGAAGTGGCATGAAATGGGAAGTGACGGAATGTGGTGCATTAGCATGAGGTAGGTAGTGACAAAATGCAGTAAAGTACCATGAGTGGGGAAGTTACGGAATGCAGTCCAATGGCATGAGGAGGAAAGTGACAGAATGTATTATAGTGGCATGAGGTGGAATTGACGGAATACGATGTAGTGGCATGAGGTGGGAAGTGATGGAATGTGGTATAGTTGCATGGGGTGGGAATTAATGGAATGTAGTATAATGGAAAAAAGTGGGAAGTGTCATAATGCATTATAATGGTATGAGGGGGAAGTGACAGAAAACAGTCTAGTGGCATGAGGTATTAAGTAACGGAATGCGGTGCGGTTACATAAGGGAAGAGACGGGAGGCAGTATAGTGGTATGAGGCAAGAAATAATGACATGCGGTGCAAGGGCATGAGGTGGGAAGTGATGGAATGTAGTATAGTGGTATGAGTGGGAAGTGCCAGAATTCAGTATAATGATATGAAATGGGAAGTGACAAAATGCAGTGCAGTGGCATGAGGTGGGAAGTGACGGAATGCAGTATATTGGCATGAGGGAGGAAGTTACAGCCTGCATCATATTGCCATGAGGTGGGAAGTGACAAAATGCAGTATAGTGGCATAAAGTGGGAAGTGACCGAACGCAGTAAAGTGGTGTGAGTTGGAAAGTGACAGAATGCAGTATAGTGGTATGAGGTGCGAAGTGGTGGAATGCAGTATAGTGGCATGAGGTAGGAGATGACAAAATTCAGTATAGTGGCATGAGATGGGAAGTGACGGGATACAGTATAGTGGCATGAGCAAGGAAGTGACAAAATGCAGTTTAGTGGCATGAGGTAGGAAGTGACAGAGTGCAGTATAGTGGCATGAGGTGGGAAGTGACAGAGTGCAGTATAGTGGCATGAGGTGGGAAGTGACAGAGTGCCGTACAGTGGCACGAGTTGGAAAGTGACGGAATGCAGTATAGTGGCATGAGGTGGGAAGTGATGTGATACGGTGCAGTGGTATGAGGTGGGAAGTCATGGAATTCGGTACAGTGGCACGAAGTGGGAAGTCACAGAATGCGAGGCAGTGAAATGAGTTGGGAAGTGACGAAGTGTTGTATAGCTGTATGTGTGGACGGTGATGGAATGCAGTATAGTGGCATGAGGTGGGAAAGCAATTTAGTGTCATGCGATGGGAAGTAACGGAATGCAGTATAGTAGTATAAGATGGGAAATGACTTCATGCAGTAAAGTTGCATGGGATCGGAAGTGACGGAATGAAGTGTGGTGGCATGAGTTGGAAAGTGATGGAATTCAGTGAAGTGACATGAGGTGTGAAGTGACAGGATGCAGTACATTGGCATGACGTGGGAAGTGACGGAATGCAT